CCAATGCAAAGAGCGAGTCCACAATCACATTAAAAATTTAAAAAGATAATTCTCAAAATGGTATGATATAATCAAACATGGGCTGAGTGGATTTGCATGGAATCCATCAACTGAAAATTTTGAAGCTGAATAAGAGGTCTAGCAACAACTAATAGAGGTAAATTAAAAAGTGAATCATATATTATTTGTAATACTTTAGATAGTTTAAATATTAATATCATATTTTATAATAGGTTAATCCAGAAGCAGCTGAACTTAAGAACAAATGGGTTCGAAATTACGACAAAATGTTGTAAATGTTTGGAAGAGATAGATCTAACGGAGTTGGTAGCGACACAGTACGTACCACTCGAAGACAAACGAATATGAATGTTAATACAAATGCAGCGGGAGTTGAGGATGTAATGAATATGAATCCCAAAAATGTCAATGTCAATAGTGAGAAATCTTTCTATGATTGTCAAATGCCTTAAACTCCTGCTTCACAACCCAAAGGTGAAACTCCAGGTTGTTCAAGATCGAGTAAATTAAGGCATTTAGGTACTATCCTATAAAATGATTATCTACTTGAGAAAATTGGAATGATTGTTGATGCACTCAATAATATGGTATCAGCAAAACATGTTTTATCGACTCAGCTGTATGAACAGATTGGTCGATTGAATCTCACTGAAGATAAAAAATCACAAACTTATATTTATCTTTTGAAAGAATCAAACATGGTGTCTGATTTATTGAGTTGTCCTCCTGAAGGTCGCAAGAATCTCTTAAAAAATTTGTTTCCATAACTAGGTAATTATATAAATATTAAAATTCAAGTTCGTTTATAAAAACTTGTTACTTTGTAATTTTTGTTTTTTTTAATTAATCTTCGTTTTTGTACGTATTTAAAAATGGAAGATGTTGTTATTGAAGTGCGAAACCCGAGTTTAGATATAGGAATATCGCATAATTTATGTTGCATGATGTATCATGTTTCTTTTTATGGACACTTATACTTCTTTACTTTATTACGATGGTATAATTTGTATTTTAATATATGTTGGATTAATTTGTATTTAGAAATAAATGATGACACTATAAAATGTTCGTATTTAGAATAGTTGAACTAGTATTGTATTTTTAAAGCTCTTATATTTATGAAACTATGTAATTTTTTAAAATTTTTAGATAATTTATTTATTTATTTTATTATATATATATGTGTTTATATATTTAAGTATATATATATATTTATATGTAAACATGTATTTATATATTTAATTAAATTTATGTACTTATATTTTTAATTATTATACATGTATATAATTTATTTAATTATATTAATTTTATTATATTTATATATGTGTTTATATATTTAATTATATATATATTTTTTATATATAAATATGTATTTAACTAAATATATAAATATATTTTTATATTTAATACTATATTTTTTTTTTTAATTTTTTATTTATTATTATATACAATAAAAAAATATTAAAACAAATAATTTATTTAAATATATAATCATATCTTACTATCAAACTAGATATAAATAACTATTATTAACAAATCTTTCATATACTGAATTTATTCAATATTAATGAAGTATTATACAATTCCTTCGATCAGACTCTGCGACGTGATGATTAAGATTCGATCCTCGCCGGTCGGAAGGAAGATAAGTGGACCAGTAAAAGGTTTAGAGAAGAGAGAGAGGTGAGGTAAAAGGAAGAAAAATTGAAGGAAATTTCAGGGAAGCGTTGTGCCTAGGAGGGAGAAGAGTTGCGAGTGAGAATTTAGAGTTAGAAGGTGAGAAAAACCTGAGAGATTTGAAAAAGAAGCAGCAGTGTTCAAAAGAGGGAAAACAGCGAATGGGAGAGTGAGGAATAGGTGAAGAATAAAGGCAGAAAGAAAAGACTGGAACCCGTTTGTTCCAATCCTCAGGTATAGTCTAAATTCCTTCTAATGATTTCTTTCTAATTCCAGTAGTGTTTCAAGCTAGGTTTCTATGAAATTATGCAATGTATCTGAGATGGCGTGTAACAGACCCGGAAAATTTAATTTACAAAATACATCTGTGTGATTAATAAAACTTTGTATATACTGATTTAAAAGGAAAATATATAATAATATCAGTTGAAAATTAAATATATCTGAAATTAAAAAAAGAAGAAAAACCCTAGGGGAGAGAGGGAGATTGAGGAAACAAGGAGGTCGACGGAAAAGAGGGCGGTAAATCGATTCGCGAGGGACGAGGGACGAGGGACTAGGAGAGAGGAAAGAGGGCTCGAAGGGGGACAGCTACTGCAGGCAAACACCACCCGGAAACAGGAGGTAAGACGAATTGGGGATTCAAACCCCGAATTTGAGATTCGTACTTTTAAGTAGTTATTGTGAGTCTGATTCTATGCTTGTGTTGGGAGTTGAAAGAGAAATCTTAGGAAACGGGTGAGTCTTAGCCGGATGCCATTCGGGGAAATCATAAAGAGCGAACTCTGGGAGAGGAGAATATCTACCCGAGTGGAGTGAAAAGTTAGGCAGAGATGAGCTATTGAAAAGTGACGATTTCGGGGGGAATAACCTGGGGTTTCCTGTTGAAGTGGAGGGTGAGGTTTTTGAGAACGAAGCAAAAGATAAATTGAGTGATATGGCGGGCAGGGACATGGGTTATTGGGCCTTATCAGAGGACTCGGGAGTGCCTTTAGAATTCTAAGTACCGATTGGGTTATAAAATCTAATCTGATGACAGTGTGTGCGTGTGGCCACAGGGTGGTCGGATATTGCATGATTATTGTTTGCATTCATTTTAGATCCTCTTGAATTTCTTTTATGACTGGATTTCTGCATATGTTCTCTGGTATGGCCCGCTGATTCGGGTCGAATGAGATATGATTGTCACTATGGACAGTGGTGAAATAGATGGGTCTGTGGGATGATGTTCACTGTTTTATTTCCTTGTTGTGCATCTGTCTGGTTACGTGAGCAAGAACTAAGTGAGAATTGTATTGAGGGAAGCTAAGGTGAAGCAGAAGGATTTATGGAATTACGGTTGCTGTTTACCTTCCTTGCTGTGCATCTGTTTGGTAACTTGGGCAGTAACTGAGTGAGAATTTTATTGAGGGAGGCTAAGGTGAAGCAGGAAATCTATGGGATGATGTTTCTGTTTTATTTTTCTTTCTTTGCATCTGTTTGGGACACTTGAACAATAATGAATGAGAGCGTTGTTGGGGGAATTAATTGGAAGCAGGTGAATACATGGGATGACGCTTTTCTGTTTCTTTTTATTTCATTTATTTGACTGATGGGTTGCTTGAACAGTGGCTGAATGAGAGTAGTATTGAGTGAGCTAATAGGAGACAGGAAATATATTGCAGAATGGTATTTTGGGTTCTGTTGAATAATAGCTGAATGGGAGTACCTTAGGTGACCAAATAGGAAGTAAGGAGGAAAATCTGGGTTTAGAATTTATTTAAATTTCAACTGAGGACTTCAAATAAGGAACCTGGAAAGCAGCAAAAGTTTGCAGAGACACTTTTGCAGAGGGAAGAAAGCGAACAGTAAATCTCAGAC